AGTGTTTACTTGTCTGTGCAGCCTATGAGACTAAACTTCTTGAAATCAAAGGCCACATCTTCAGTATGGGGCAGGTTCTCAATAAATATTTATTCACCAGTATTAGTAGAAATAATAATAGCTATCACAGACTGAGTGCATGCAAATCTGTGAGGTTTGAATAAAAGCCTCAGGGCAAGTAGCATTAACTGAGTACTTACCAAGGCTATGCTAAGAGAAACATTATCTCATTTAATCCTGTGACCAATATTGTAAAATGGGTATGTTAACACCTGAGGAAACAGATTCAAAGAGATTAAGTGGTAGATTTGGGAAAAGAATCTGGGTCTTTCTCACTTCAAAGTCTATGCTTTTGAACAATTACAGTAACTTCTCACATAATGTAAACCATCGATTCTTGGAAACTGAGACTTTAAGTGAATCAACTTTATCACAGACTAATTGCTATAAACAAGAATTAAGTTCCTAGAAGACATTTCTGTTCACAAAAACATTACCAAACTCTAAATAAAGACCAAAATACTTCTAATGTTAAAATTGAAATGAATGTGAGCTATGCATACCTTTAAGATTAATAAAAACAAGTAAGATAATTTTTTATCCCATTATTCAAATTCAGGGCCATGGGTGGCTGAAGCCTATCCCCCCAGCTCAAGGTGGAAGGCAGGAACCAACCCTGCACATGATACCATTTCATCGCAGCCCATGCGCGCGCGCACACACACACACACACACACACACACACACACACTCACTCAGACTGGGGCAATTTTGACACACCAATTAACCTATTGTACACATCTTTGGGATGGAGGGGAAACTAAAGTATCCAGAGAAAACACACAAAGACATGGGGAGAACGTGCAAATTCCACACAGACAGTGGCCCCAGCCAGGAATTGATTTTTTTTCAACAATAGAACAAAACAACATTATTCAGGGGCCTCCTTTATAATACACAACCTTCCCAACTAGGTTCTATTTTCTCAACCTCTACCCATTTCACCCAATCCTGACTCAGTTTCTAACATGTTCAAAATTATCTTGTTTCACAAAGAAGGAGAAATAAAAGAATGAAATCTGAGTTTTCCTTTGAATTGCACAATAATTTTATTTTGTTCTGTTTTTAGACCCAAAGACTTACCTTTGTCATCGCCACCTGTGTGATTTTGTGTCTCTGTCTCTATATTTTCTCCTTTAAATGGATGCTGAGAACATAGTTGGTAGTATTAATGGAAAAGGGCAGCAACTCATATTCTAATTCAGAGATTCTCTCTGGAAAGGCTACACTATTCAGTAAAGTATTTAGCTTAAAAAATGAGGTCGAATATCAGAGAGAAGACACGTGATTGGATGGCTGGAAAGATATACCTATTCATGAATGAAATTTCACAGAACCACATTACAAACCAACATGATCTAAGGCAACACTTCTTAACCAGCTTCCTTTTCTGTGAAATGAAGATAATAAAAGCACTCACTTCACAGGATCACTGTGAAGATTAAATGAGTCAATATATGTAAAGCACTAAGCACTTTAGTTATCAGTAAGCAATATATCTCAGCTATTATTATTATAGTTGGGGTTACAGACCTCTGAAAAGCTAATGAAAGTTACAGATTCCTGAACCCATATTCTCATGTCGGAGCAGAACTCCAGGTCTACATGGAGAAAAATAAAAAAAGTCAGTGGAGGTCCCAAATGAAGCTAAGACTCAAGAGTCAAGAAATGAAAAGAAAGAGTTGCCCAAGTAGGTGGAAGTCTCAAAAACAAAATATGAATATGTGGTTATAGAATGAGGAAGCAAGCAACATTTCATGTTGCAATAAACACAGGACACAATTTTTATTAAATTTTGCAAATATAAAATACATTCTTACAGTATTCCACCTGTTGCTAACAGTAACTATCCTCAAAAAGAAACTCAAGAGTTTTATATCAGCTTCAAAGTCATCAAATGATACTAGTGGAAAAGGCAGTGATGAAACAATAAGGTACCAGAGGAAGGAAGAAAGGCAGTATGACTTGGAGAGATGCGTCTGTAAACCTGTTGGGACCTTCTCCAATCTCCCCTAGCTCCAGAAGTCCCCACTCTTGCACAGATGGTCACTGTCGCCACTGCCAAGCCTTTCCCTTCTGCAAGGGAACCCACATCACTCACAACTCCTTCGGACAGTGAAGAACAAAAGACCAGAGAGAAAACGTTGAGGGAAGGAAGCCAATACTGAGTACCTATAATACAGCAAGCACAATGCCTGGCCCTGTCATACAGATTTGAATTTAATTAGCGTGAAAGAACTTAGAGGAAGGGAACTGACAGTGGAATAAAGGAGGATAAAGGAACGAGAAACAGACTAGCAGGAGAGAGGGAGGGAGATTAGAAGAGTTCGAGGACTACAGACAGCGTGGGATCAGAAAGAGGTCGCCAGCAAGGGCAGGAAGAAATGAAAGCTAGAGAGGGGAACAAGAGGCGGGAGCGGAAAAAGGAGAGCACAGAGTGTGCCAGAGCTAAAACGCCGGCGGGAGGCGAGCGCTAGGCGAGACTGACGGTGTCACCCACTTACCTTGCTACGCCCCCCGGAGGCGACGCGCTGCTGAGAGCTGGGGGCCGGGAAAGACTGGGAAGGGACGTTCAGCATCCTGAACCCCCTAACGCAAGCCCTGCCCGGGGTCTGCCCCCGGACGGACTCGCTCGGGTAGACCCCTCTCAGCTAGCACCTCCGGCTCCGGCTCTAGGGCCGGGCAGAGGCCAAGCCCCCGACCCACTTCCGGGGTCGCCGCGGGTGAGGCGCGCCCTGACGCAGCACGTCCGCGAAAGGCGGAGCCAACCAGACGCAGGGAGGACCGGCTGGGGCGGGACCGAAGGAAGTACGCATGCTCAGTTACTCCTGCGTCCCGAACTTCAGCACTGGACGGAGGTGACAGCTATTTCGTGGAAAGATCAGAGAGTGAAGCTGTTCACTAGCCCTAGTGCTGACCGAATATGAGAATAAATTCTTCAAGAATCCTGTTAACCCAGAACACCAGTGTCTGTCCCTTGCTAAGCAGTACCATCACACTACTTGATATATGGAATAAAATAACACCATTAAAGCATTTTGGCTTCTCTGAAATTCTCTCCTGTAAAGCACTAGGCTGTACAGGAAAGAGCTTCTCACCTTTAAGAGTGAAGGTATCAAGTGCCAACAGTCACTACGGAGGGGTAAGAAGAAAATTTCACCTTTAAGCACCCTCAGTGATTACTGACGAATGAGTAAAAGACTCCTTTTAGTAAAGTCTCCTTTACTAAGAGAGTTAGAAAAGCCTCCTTCTGTTCTATTCACCCACTCATAAATTCTTCCTCCTCATATAACTTCCTGTCTTCCTGGAAGATACAGGGAATTGTGTACTGATGGAGCTCACCCCCAATTGTGATGTTGAACAGCTACTTTTAAGAGTCAGACAGATTTGGTTTGGATGCCATCCCTGCGCTTAACGACTGAAATGTCTATGCCAATTACTTTGGTATCTCTCAAAGTCTCATTTCCCTATCTAAACAATGGGCTTAGGTTTTAGTAAGGATTAAATGGTAATATGTAAACTACATAGTACAGTATCTGGTTAATAGTAGATATTCAATAAATTTCAGTGGCCCTTTGTACTATTCCAACACATTAATGAGATATGTACAAACACTGTGCAGGTAAATACCAGTCCCTAATGCTCAAGGTTCAAAGTGGCGACCTGCTGGAATTTTTTTTTTTTTTTGCATGTACCTTGGGGAACACATAGATCCTGAGAGTAGAATCTGATAAAAGGAGAAAGTTTTCAGAAGAAAAAAATATAGTTCTAAATCACCCTCCCCAGCCTCCTTTTATTATTAACTTTTCCTAACTCTAAACACATTGTCATGGTTTGAACTTGCTCTATTTAATTACCTGGTTCTTAAAGTGCCTGAAAATCAAAGTTAGGTTTTTAGCACCTTTTATGTTAGAAGAAAAAGTGTGTGAATATATGTAGCCATTCAAGTAGGAAGCATTTTCAGCTAGGTAACCGGCTCTGATCTTCATCTCTACCCACTATCATTCTCAAATATTATAGGAATATTTTTATTTGCAATTGAAATGCTTATTGTGAGAAGATTGTATTTGAGCTAACAGAACTGTATGACCGTAGTTTACTACATTACCTTGACCTTGCAAATGACTCCTGTTTTCTCTCTCATTAAACGATGATGTATTCTTCTATGAGTCTATATAAGAAAAACTAATCACTGAAAATTAATTCACTTCCCATGAAAAAAAATCTACATAAGAATATGAAGAGCAGGAAACCAGAGCAAAAGAAAATAAGTAATGTTGAAAAATATTCCATATCTGCCAAATTTCTTAGCTCCCCTTTGGACAGAAATGGAAAATACTATCAAATTCTGGCCCTTAGGCTCTACTTTTTAAAAATTCATGTAAATCACTTCTATTTAAACATTTTGTTTTAATTCTAGGGATCCCTTAATGTAGCATGGTTAGTATTAAACACCCATGCTATTTTACAATTGGATTTAAGGACTACAGAATATTAAAGTGAAAGTTACTTTACTCATCATTTATTTAAAACTCCTACAATTTAAGAGCCCTAAGATTGATTCCCTTTCTCAATTATAGACAATGATTTAATGGGTGTTTCACCATCGGCTAGCAAACCCATAAAAATAAATGGGTGATTGGTAACATAAGGGGATTTTCTTCATTATCTAATATGATAATATTAATCTGTAACTACAACATCCAATTGGGATCAGGAGGAGATAGCAGATGTTACAAGATTCAGTCTAAAAATTAAATATTGTCATTCTTTGCAAAATTATAACTAAAGATAAATTCGTAATTTAATGAAGAGAACAAAATCAGCCTTGGTAAGTCCCAATAGTTATAATACAATGAAGACATTTGTAATGGCACCTATTTTAAATTCTAACATTTAGTTCTAGTGTAGGGATAAAAAAGGCCAAACTACCATAGTAATTACAAAATATTTCATTTTATTAATAATTTATATACAAATAAATTAGTTTAAAAGGATTATGATACATTTATATACTAAATTTAAATCCTATAAGCTTTGAATGTCATCAAAAGTAACTAATCACATTAATTTTCACAGGTCAGCTCCTCAATTTCATCTTCGCTATCAGAATCTTCATAAAATGAAATTGTGGCTTGAATTGGAAAATTTTTCAGAAGAGCCTCTGCTTCCTGATATAAGTAATCATAACACTTTGATTTTGGCCAAAATAGTCTGAAAAAAGCAGACAACATAATATGGGTTTTTGTTTGTTGTTTGTTTGTTTAACATTCAGAATCCTTATACTCATGAAATGGTCAAATTTCAAGAGATCCATATATTTAACAACTGATTTATGCCTTTAGACACAGTCTTCAGGTAGAGAGTTTAAAAATGCAACAGCTTTCATCAAGTCTACTTGCCAAAGTATCAATAACAGGTTGATTATTTTAAATCTTCATCCAAGCTTTAAATTTGATCAAAAAATTTACACCAAGCCCTGTGTAAGCCTAAGATCAATATCTAGGTTATTTGAGCATTATGGATATATTTATTCTTAAAATATAGAGAAGATTTGTCTTCCCGTTTCCAAATTCCTTTGGAAAAATGAATTCTACCACTTAATGAAACATTCTGATGATAGCCAATTCTGTAAAAACGAAAAAATATTATGCATCTTACACGAAGGTGAAAACCACCTACTATCTTGCCTAAAACTCACAGATTTAACTCTTAGTTATAGATGTAGCCGTTGTAAGTTCAGAAAATTACAAAAAAAAATATTAAGGTTTGTCTATGCATTCACAACCTGAGGCATAGAGAAAGGCTACATCTGATGCCAACCTTGATCCCATCTCCCTCCTCTCTCCCCATTCAACTAAATCTGATTCTTCTCAGTCTCCTTTGAGGATTTCTCTTAGATGTATACTGTTTAAATGCTGGCCTTCCCCCAAGGCTCCATTGAAAATGATCAGCTCTCCCCTCTACACCCGCTAGGATGACCTGACCCACCGTTAGGATTTCCCCAACCCTTCATTTCCATAGGCTCCCAAGTCTGCATTTCCTTTTAAGATCTTGACTCTGGGCCCCTGGCTTCTATATGAAAGTCTCTACTGTATACTTCTATTTGAATGCCTCAGAGTCATATTAAATATGCTAAATGGAAAATTAGACTCATTATCTTCCTCCCCAAATCTGTTGTAAGCCCTAATTTCCATTCTTTTAGTACAGCATTCACCTGGTCACCAGACACAAACATGGGAAGTCATTCTGGCTTTTTACCTCTGCTTCATCTATCACATCCAATACATCATAATCTATCTTGTCACCTAAGTATTCCCCAAGTTCACCCAGTCCCATCCCCACTTCTAATGTCTTAGAATGACTCTTCATCATTTCTTAACTGAACAATTGCAAAGCTTCCGATTTCACTTTTCGTGTTCTAACTAGGACTATATAACATTTCCTTAGTGATTTTTCTGATACATAAATCTGACCACACCACTCTTCTGGTTAAAATCATTCAAGTAACCCTCAATGTCACCTGCAGAATAAAGTCCATGGGCTCCCAACACCACATGCAGGATCAGCATAAAACTCAATGGTCTACAAGATCTGGCCTCTGGCTACCCTCCTGGAATGAACACAGCTTCACACACTTAAATTCTAGTTCCTTGGAGCTCCCAGAAGGAGCCATACTATTCCATGATCCTGCATCTCTTTTCCGATGTTGTTTCTTCTGCCCCTCGTCCGCCACCTTCCATCCATCTGGCTAACTTCAAGATTCAGCCAGGTAATCACAACCTACCATGCACACTCCCCTGACACTTCCCTCTACGCTTGACAGAGTGGCACTTCATCCCCTGTCCATATTGTAAAACTGACCAAACTAAACTCCTATACAATCCTTGCCATGTGCTGTGATTATTCTTCCCTGAGTCCTTCACTAGTGCTAGCACATGGTAGGAAATTAATCAACATATATTGACAACTGTGTGCTATTTATAAACACATACACACTTTACAAACATCATATAGCTCTTCATTTAACAGCTCTCTGAAGCAGGAAAACTGCAGAATTATTAACCTTTCACCTGAATAAAAGCCATGAAGAATTTTAGAGAAAGGCTGACTTCCTGTGTCTGGAATAGTAAATTAGCTCCTCACTGTTACGTTAAATAACTTGACTCCTTTTACAATTATCCTTAGTAATCTTTAGGATTTTTCCTTATATTTCCATTTTCTCTTATATACCAAGCTTGATTTGCTGTAAAACTGTAGCTATTAATCTAAACATACACACTATGCCTGATATGAAGTCACTTTCACTTGGACCCTTGGATTAAAAAAAAAGAAAAACTGTTTTGCAGGCACAAGTTGTTACCATTCTTTTACTACACCATCCACTTTCCCTCTTCATAATATATTCCTTAAGCATTTACTGAGTATGTACTGATTAACACTTCTTTTATGTGAAAGCGTGAGCTCCTACATTTTTCAAATCGATGAGTAATGGACCTCTGCGAGTGGGAAGGTAAAATAACCTTGAAGATTTTTCCAAGAGAGAGAAACTGCAGGACCAACTGCTGATCTGGGCTGTGCGGTGCCCCTGGCTCCTCCCTAGGGCTGGAGGGGCGGGAGACCTTTGGTGAGGCCCATCACTCACCTGACTGGGTGTCTGTATTGGGACAGCTTTCCTAAGGCTTCGGTCATTCCAGGGCCATCAGGCATCTGGGGACGAAAGGAGATGAATCGCAGTTACCACCCACCTCCTTCTAGAAAGTGGAAACGTGCAGGACCCAGCGTTTCTCGTGCCTGCAGCGAATGTGACCCCAGGGCTCTCAGCAGCCTTGCTCCAGGCCCGATCCGTGTGGCCCAGTCGCTCTGGGGGGGACACATCTGTCGCGTCAGCACCGTTAGGACCACTAGCAGGCGCGATCTTAAGCGAGGGGCAGGATGGATGCGTGTGTCCCTTGGGCCCCGCGTCCCCGGGCCTTGATCCTCTGCACCCCCGCGAAGCGCAGCCAGCCACGCGCGGCTCACTCACCGCCTCCGCGGCGTGGTGCTGCGCCGCTTCCTCTTTCTTGCCTCGGGCGTCAATCCAGGGTCTCCAGAAGCCTGCGGATCTGCGGGATGGGGAGCACAAGGCGCGCAGAGGGGACGTGAGCCCAGACCTGGGAGGATCTACCAAAGCCAAGCGCTGGCACCAAAGTGTCGGGGGTTGGAGAGCCGAGGGGAGGAGCTGGGGAGGCGCGGGCTGGAAGGACGCGGGAGGAGGGGGTGAGGCGCAGAGCCGCGCCAGGAGCCTACCCGGAGTCCGCGCCCCCGCGCCGTGCCAGGCCATAGGGGGCGGCGCGCTGGCCCGCTCCTCTCTCTGCGCTCCCCGCGGTCTCCATGACGCAGCGGGGCTCGGAGGAAGGCTGCTGCTGGCTCGCTGGCAATCCTGGCCCCTTCCACCAGGTCCGGGACCCGAGCTTTATATAGCCCTCGCGGCCTGCTGCAGATCGCGAGGTTCGCTCCCTCTCCGCCCTTCTCTCCCCTGCTAGCCGCATAAACAAAAAGGCTGCGCGTGAAGGCGCACCGGGCTGAACTCGGGGTGCGAACGCGTGCAACTCCCAAATGGCCGGGGAGTGGGTTTTGTCGAGCGAGTGTTAATCGCCCTTCGACACATGGCTGCGGTGAAAAACAACATTCGCCCGAGCAGCCAATTTCCACGTGAAAAGGCCAGGAGGGGATAAAATTAAGCGATTCTACACGTTTTGTGTATTTCTGCAAAAAGGCCAAGTGGCTGGGTAATTGCTTCACTCTCCCGAGTCTCACGGCTTGGGCTTTGGCAAATGCAACTAACTGCATCCCGTGTTGTAAAAGCTGGGATGAGGACTAAAATGAAAAAGGAAGGGCGTTAATTCCTCATTCTGGAACATTTTTTAAAAATGGGCAAATTAATGGGCTCCATAAGAAAGGAATGTCGAGGTGTTCTTTTTTTTAATGCATTGATAAACTAGGTTCGTACATCTACCTATTGTTATTGGAGATAATAGAAAATTATTGGCAACAAGAGGTGAATTATAAAAGGTTGACCGTTTCTGGCCAACAAGGCCAGACTGGAATCATGTGATATGGGCATATAACTCTATAGTATCTTCTCATATCTTTGTGATTTCTCCAACATTTTATCAGTATCCTTGCTACAAGAAGTCTTGAGTTCATCTATACACCTCTGTCACTGCTTGGTATTTTGTCACTCAGTGATAATTAGAAAATTCATTTGGGATTGGGAATGGAATAATAATGAAATCTTGAAAACATGAAAGGAGAAAAGTTAAGTCAATCTCTCTGTGCCCCTGTTTCTCTTATTTGAGTTACCCCTCACTTATCTACAGAGGTCCGCTAAACTTGGTAAAAAGTATTAAGCTTCGAAGGAAAGATGCTATATAGATGTTATAATTTTTTTCAAAATGTTTTAAATAATGGACCTGAACTTTCTCTTAAAAGTTGTAGATAAAAACCTTGAGTGTGAACTATAGTGTCTCTGCTATTCATTCAGTTACTGCATAGGAAAATAATCCATATAATTAGTACCTAAGGGCCTGTAATGATCTACCTGCCAAGTAGGTGAGATATGGTTTGCTTCTGATAATGGAATCAGTAAGAATAGATACCTAATGCATGTCTTAATGCCCTAGAGTTAGTTAGGCTAAATAAAATAAAGCTGCCTGACACAGAATAAGCCCTCAACAGGTTTTAAGCTGTTTTAAAAATATAAGCCCTTAACAGATGTTAAGCTATCTGATGAAATGACTTACCATTTCTGTTCCATAAACACCTTTATGAGGTATCTGTAATGTGCTAAGTACTATACTTTCCAGATATGGTGAATAAAATACTCCTCCTATCCCCAACCTATAACCATTACAATCTATGGCCATTATAATGGCCACATAACAAAGATTTTCTAAAAATGACACAAGAGCAAAAGCACATTTTAGGCGGAGAAGTAACAAAAGGGAGGTACTTAAGAAGTCTGTTTGGGACAACCAGGAAAACCTTCATAGAGTAAATGAAGTCTAAATTGAGATTTCTAGAAGGATCAAAGAATAGTAATGTCTGTGTGGTGAAATGGTGGGAGGAAAAGGATCAGGATATCACTGGAGAAGAGATAGAAAGGACTTGGACTCTTAAGAGCCTAGTGCACTATGCCAAGACATTTTGATTTTATTCTGTAAGCACAGAATAGATTTTAAGCTGGAAAGTACAATGGTCAAAGTTTGCATTTTGTAAAAGTTACTCTGGCAGCCATATGGAAGACAGATTTAGGGAAGACTGGTAGTGGAGACGAAGAGTCCATTTAAAAGTTCATTTAAAAGGTCTAGGCAAGAGATAATAATAAGATGTACACTAGGAATGGAGATGAAAGGATCAATTTGAAGGATACTTAGGAAATAGAATTTATGAAACTACCTGAGTCATAAAATGTGGGTTGACATGAAAGTGGAGTCCAGATATGCTCTCAGGTTTCCAGTCTGATTAAGTGAGTAGATGGTGATGGCTCAAAGACAAAGAAAACAGGGAATATAGGATTAACAGTGGGTGAGATGCTTTTATGTTGTTTTATTCTGTTAATGATGTACAGGAAAAAAATAATGAATTTGGTTTTGGATCTTGAGTCAGTTGGGACGGGCTGGGCTATATGGCAGTAACCGATAACTCCAAAATCCCCCAGGCTTAAAGTAGCAAAGGTTTATTTCCCACTCATGCTATATGTCCATTTTTGGTGGTTGGCAGGAGATCTATTCCACATCATCTTCACTTAAGGATGCAAGCTGATGTAGTCTCTTACTTCTGAAATGTTGCCAGTTGTCATAACAGGGGGAAGGGAATAAAATTATTTGTGTGCCAGTTTTCAGAGGTTTCTGCCTAGAAGTGACACACATTTCACTGGCCAAAACAAGTCACATGACATAACCAATTTCAAAGGAGCAAGAAAGTGCTATTCTACCATGTACCTGAAAAGAGGAGAAACAGAAATAAACAGCATGTAAGAGTACCATAATCTGCCCTTCTGGCTACCGAATATTCAGTTCACCTTCCTTTCTACATTTAAAATACAGTCACCCAAGAAAAAGAACTCATAAGTGATCTAATAGATTTTAGAAAGCTTAGTAACATGTAGGTGGAGAAGATAGCCAGGAGACAGCCAAAGATAAGAGGTCTCTAGTTCAGTGGAGAGTTTAGGGCTAAAGACTAAAATGTGGTAGGTATCAGCAAAGAAGTGGTAATTAAAACAATAGGAATTGATTAGGTTTCCCAGGGAAATTTTGTAGCTTGAGAATAGGACCAAGGGCATAGGTCTAGAGATCAACATCTGATTGATTGTAAGGTGAGGGGATATGAAAAATAAAAAGTCACCGTGAAGGAGCGGTGAAGGTAATAGAAGGCGCATCAGTGGAGCAGGTGTGGTGGAAACTTGGAATGAAAGAATTCCAGCAAGGCAGGAGAGGTCCAAGGCAGTAAGTGCTAGCAAGGGGTCAAATAAGGTAAGGACACGTGTTAATTAGATTTGACAATTAAGGAGTTATAAGGGACTTTAGAGCAACATCATTTGACTGTATGGGGACAGAAGGTTTTTGACAGCAAGCTGAGTTGTAGATTGGAAGTGAAGAAATGAAAACAGTGAGTTGAGGCTACCCTTTAGAGAGGAAAAAAGAGCAGGGTGGAATGTTGGGTCAGGAAAGGGGTTTATTTTTAGGGTGCAAGAGACAAAAGTATGTTCATAACATGAGGAAAGGAGAGGCTTCTGGGGAGAGAGGGCTGGATGATGGTTCATTGTCCCCAAGGAGAAAGGAAGAAATGAAATCAATAGCTCTGGGGAAGCTCTTCATGAGGTTGGAGCGTGTGAATCAGTAATGACAGTAATCCAGGCCTGGGAACTCCCAAGAAAAAGGCTTAATCAAGTAACTAGATCTGGTGTGGGGAAGAAAGCGTATAGTGTAATGATGAGAAAATATCAGTTGACTTAAAATTGTGAAAAAAATGTATTTCTGTAAGGAAAAAAGCGACAACCAATTCATAAAAATATGGCAAGATTTATACTTGATCAAATTTAGGTAAACTGAGAAATAGAAATATGTATTATTGAAAATAGATCTTAAACTTACCATTTATACACTTATTCCATTTATACCACCTGTTTATACTCATCTTGAAGCTGATTTCCAGTGTGGGCAAGACTAAAATGCTATTTTTCTTTTTCTTTTTGTTTTTTTGCATAGTTTATCATTTCCATCAAACATGGGATTTCCTGACTGAATCATGAAGGAAAATAATCATTTTAAGCTGTGCCAGAAGAAGAGAACCATCAGTACAATTTTCAGGGGCATTATATTTATTATTTTAGAACAGATATATGTACCTCTTAAGTACGCTTTATGGAGTATGAGAATGTAAAGTCTTATAAAATAAATATAAAGAAATACAAAATTATAAAATAATACAATCTGAGGCATAACTTATTCATGTTACAATTTAGATTTATTTTCGAATTTTATACTGAGTTCCACTAGTGCATTTAAAATATGTACTTTATATAACCTAACAACCCACTTTTCATAACACACCAATGGAGTGGACCAACCTACATAATCTGTTAGGACTATAATATTTTAAAACTTCATTTACTCAAAGAGTATTTATTGAACACCTACTGTGTGCCAGGAACTATTCTAGGAGCTTGGGATATGTCAGTGAACAAAATGGACAAACTCCCATATTTTCATGGAGCTACATTCTAACAGACATCTAAGCCACCAAGCTTTATATTTGACTAAGAGAAAGTATTATAAATTCACTTACGTTTGGTACATTTATTCCTAACGTGCTTTTATTTTAATCTTTGAATGTTTGCATGACTATAAAATGTGAGAAAGGAAGTATACCCTGGAGAGAGGGTGCTAGGTGATGGTCCCTGGGGAGGAAGAACGGAAGAAATCAAGACCACAATTAAAAACCAGATATGAGCCTCTACATTATCCAGAAAACAGTAAGCAATGAAAAGAAAAATTCCAGCCTGACAAAAAGAAAAATTGGAGCTTGAACTAGGCCCCCATTTTGAATATGACGGGTGTTGCCCCACCCTTTTTGATGACCTCAGCTAGGGTATGACTTATTCCGCACTTAGAAACCAAGGTGAAAAACAGAAGTGTGAAGGAATGAGAGGAATATAATGACTCACAGCTGCTCTTGCCACCATGTGCCTCCTGAATAATGCCAGCTTTGCTTGTAACAAGAGCAAGGTTAGTCTCAGTTTGTACACATTCCCTCTTATTTGTGATTTTATGAATATTATTTAAGGAAAACTGTAACACCTGCCTAATTAGCTAGATTCCTTTTTTTTAAAAAAAATTGTATATCTAAAATGTGCTACTTTCTAGTCAAATTATTGATTTGTGTCTGAATGCCAACACAGTCAAGTGTGTTAATGTTTCTGTATTCTATTTCAATTACGTAATTAGGCTTTCATGCAGGAAAGTTGTGAAAAATTAAAT